GGCCTCTTTCCCCAGCCATTGTCTCTCTGTGGTCCTTTGTGGGTGTGCAGATGAGCTTTTATCACATAACCTAACAATCTCTCTCTGTGTCTCTCAAAAATAGTCTTCCCTAAGCAGAGATGAAGTTAATTTCTTACGAATGTTATGTCAAATGTTTTCTCAGCTTGGTCTTACAAAATAAATGTATGCACCGTAGCTTACAACAAGACTAATCTTCCTAGTGCGTTTGGTCACAATTGAAAAAGAGAGTGTTGATGATGTTGGATCAGATTTACCCCTCCTTTACACCATTTAATGCCAATCTTGAATCACACTTTTGGAAATATGTCTTTTTAAATACTAGAGGCTCTTCCGCTTCATAACAGTTTTAGGTCAACCTGTCTAAAAATGCTTTGAATTGTGTATTCATTTTGCTGTTGAAAGTAAATTTTTTGCATATTTCAAGTGGTTAGATACCTGTTTCTGTCTGTCTGTCTAAGCAAAGAGGAGGGAGTAAATTACACAGAGCACTCAAGAAAGAAATAAAATTCTACATTGCTTCTGTCAATGTAGTAGGTCAAGGAAGGTTCCTATTAGAAGTAAAGGAGCATTGTTCTAAATTGTGTGGAAGGTTTGGTACTTTCTTTGGCTGAGAAACTGCTCTACATAGATTTAAGTGCCTTCAAATACAGTATTTTGCAAAGAATGTTTTATTTATATTTATATATAAATATACTTAAATCCCCAGCCTAGTGAATGATCTACAGTCATGAAGCACTGTTTTCAGTTGTGTGACAAAGAAGACTTGTCTCTAAAAATCTGCAAAAATATCAATAAAGATTTAAAGCATTGCTTATTAGAAAGCTGGTAAAATACCACTGCACCTGCAGGAGTCATTTAGTTATGATCTGGTTATCCAAAATCTTGTATTTCTTTGAGTATTCTTTTGAAAATGAGAAGAGAGAGATAATATTTAGGAAGGAGCTGTTTGTTCAGTGAGAATGAGTGCAAGTAAATGTTCATTTCCATTAAAATTTCTTATGAAACGTGTTAAATGTTGTAAGAAAGAGATGGAGGATAGTTTGAATTCACTGAAAATAATTTTTAGCTGTACCTCTTTGTTCAAGATCTTTTGATTCCTACATTTTCTATGTGTATTATAGTTTCATTGCATTGTTAACTAACAAAAATATGATCATAAAATTATGCAATGGAGCTAGTTAATAAGTGAGGGCATTTTTCACAACTATTTCAAAGTGAAATACTTCCCCTTAAAAGAAAAAAAAAAAAATCCAAAATTCCCAATCAAGGCATTTAGGTTATTTTAAAAACCTTTTTAAACAGAATAAATATGTTGGTTTTTTTTTTTTTTCTTCTTAGAAGGAATAACTAATAAGGATCAAATACTGTCTTTGAGAAATTATTTTATTTTAATCAGAACTTTTCATGTAGCTAGAATATTCAAAACATCTCTTTCCTGTGTGAGTCACAGTATTTTTTTTTTCCTGTCAGTGATGATATTGATTTATTTATTCTCCTTCTGCTGTGTTGCTTTCCACTTTCTGTTTTCATTAAATGAGTAGGTACATCTTATCTTTGATACCCACCTCTTCCTCTCTTGAAAAAAATAATTACTGACTAATATGATAGTCAGATGGAAAAAGACAGATGAAAATGATTGTGTATGTTAAACTTTTTGTCTTCAGAAACCAGACTACAAAACAGCTGATCTACCCAACTGATTGCATATTCCTCCTAACTTTAGGTCATGGATAAATATGGTGAGTTCTATGGCCGTGACAGGATCAGTGAGTTACTAGGAATGGACAAAGCTGCTCTCGATTTTAGTGATGCTCGAGAAAAGAAGAAACCAAAGAAGGATAGCTCCTTATCTGCTGTGTAAGCATTTGCTTCTGGTTTGTTTGTGTGATTACTTTTTTTGTTTAGGGTTTTTCTTTTTGTTTTCTTTCGGGGTTTTTTGTAAGTTAAAATCAAGCATTCAAGGTTGTCATTCAGCTTTGAATTTTCTTGTTGCTCTTTTTTGTATAGCTAGATGAGAAAAATCAATTCTTAAGTTGAATGATATAGTGAATTTATTTCATTATAGACAACATATATGCAGGACTCCACTGTTTTTTATGTATGAAGATTTAGTTTAGTGCACAGCAGCTTGAATGCATCATATTCCTACTGTTTTGATGGTGTCTTTACAACTGGACTGGGAACTCTTTCGTAGTTCTCTCAGTTTGGCTCAACTGGAAAGAATGGGCAAAATTGGCACTATGTGTTCTAATTATAGAGAAGTGATGGAATAAATTTAAGTGATAGTGACCGGTACAACCTATGAAGCTGGATGATTAGTCTTCACATTATTTTATGAGTTGTTTTCCCTAAACTGTGTATTTGCCTATCATCTGAGAGACAGACTTGAAAAAAAGCCCCTAGACGTTTCAGAGTAATTGCATTAATTTTCCTTCTTAGGGAAGGGACATCCTCAGTTTTTATAAAGCACTGCAAAAAAAGTTTTTCTCAGTTCTGCCTTATAAAAAAAGATATTCAAATAGATAAAATATATTTTAACAGATGGGCTTTTAATGGTACAGAGATTTTCGTGTAAGGGTTTATTTATAACTTGCTTTGAAAGCAACATTTTATCAATGGGTTCACAAAGATTATATGAGGCAGACAGTGGGACCACTAGTAGATTTGAATTGCATTGAAACAAGGGCTGATTTTGTAAAGATGGATCTTTAATATCCATCTTTTGTAAAGATGGATAAATAAACCTGGAGTCCATCTAAACAATCAGTCAGGAGCGGTGTTAAGGTCTAAGGACTTTGTAGCATTGCAATACTAAATAAAATTTAATATTGTGACAGAAGTACTTTCCAGAAGACTTTCTTACCTTCTGTTTTGCTGCTGGATTATAGTAGGACCCATGCTTGAGTTTAGAATTTTTAGGGTTTTATGTTTATTACTTTTATTATTGGTATAAAAAAAAAATGAACCTACTTTCCCTTCCCTGTGTGCTCATGACTCATATTTGGGAAGAACTTTGAAATAATGTTGCTGTGAATACTCTTGAAAAAACAGACCAGAATGAAGCAGTTGAAGAAGGCTGATAAAATACTTAATTTCTGAATCAGGCCTGAAGGATTACAGTTTTGTGTTACATCTTTAACATCTACTCCATGCTATTTACATTTAAAAAATAAATTATGACCTCATTCATCTTGCATGTTCCCCCTGGATCATTCCATACTTGTAACAGATGAATATGCTGTGGGAAAATGAATAACTATGACAGAAATTTACAGAACCATTCACATAAAATTCATATGCTTCAGGAAGGTACATGTATCCACTTTTTACCAGTTTCAAAAATGAACAATAATGAAGGTACTAAAACTTAGGCATATTCCAGATTCAACATTTGAAATATATTTACAGTGCAATGAAGAAAGAGGTGGGAAAAGCACTGGAACTGAACCCTTACTGCACCACTTCAGGGGAGGGTGGAAAAAAAAAAAAAAGGAGAATCGTATCCGAGCTCTAGTGCCTCTGCTTCTGCCTGTGCCAGCAGGAGGTGGCCCAGGCTGAGGCCAGACCAGATACCTATGTGTCTCTCAACACAGAAGGGAAATGCAGCATGTAGCATTTCCATTCCCAATAGAAATGAATCAGTTTTTTCTTCTGTCTCCTTGACCCCTAGGTCCTACTGTTTCTTCCTCTTTCCTGTGGGCAAATAACGTGGGATTCCCTTCCATCTGTCTTTTTGCAAGGGGCTCGGAGCACTCTAACTGCAAGTGACCATGCTTATTCAGATGTTCCTGCCTGTCCCACTGATATACTGCATTAAAAAATCCTCAGTGTACTGATATATTTTAACTCTGGAAGAGCCATTCAGCTTATGGATGCAGTCTTGAGTATTTTTTTAATATATAAATTTATGAATATGAATTTAAATATTTAAATACTTATTTAGATATATTGCAGTATTATTTAAAGATAACCAACTAAGGAGAATAGAGCAGTTGGAGCTTTACTGTATATTAGACAGTAAAGACAGCTAAAATTTGCACACTGGGATTGAGGCAGTGCACTGTTTTTCCATTGAATGAGTTTCCCTTCTGGGGTGGATGTTGTTAAACTAGCTGCAGCATGGATGAAGTATATTTGAGAGAAGACTATGAAAGACATAACGATGAAAGTTAATTATCAATCAATCATCAGAGGTGTCATAGTGAGGATTACCTCTCAGTCCCTTTACCTTCCTAACTGCTGTTGGTTCTGCAGTCATTAGTCTAGTCAGAGACAATAGAAGAGGCAGTTGAGGCTCAAGCATCTTCAGCAATCAGTGAAATAAGGCTAATTTGGGGGAAAATAAGCAGAGCTTCTGTTGAATGCTCACATAGTAGGAGTATTCTTCCCCTTTCAAGAAGAGAAAAATGAAATTAATTTTCTCGTGGAAGATGTGAGGTTTCCATCATTTGACGAGAAGGTAAACCATATAATAAACGTGAAGTGTACAAAGAATGAGTGTGGTTGGCCTCAGAATGTGAAAGAGGTTAAAAGGTCTTATTCTTCCTTGTCATGAGAAACATAACCTAGGTTTTGAAAAGATTCCGGAGCGGGTAAGCCCCTTGTTAGTAATGTAGGACCTTGGAGAACAGTATTGTCTCTGGTAAACTAGTAGACTTGTCCCTCAGGTGACAGCCTGCCTCTTGCCCATAATGGCAAAAGTAAGGAATTTTATTTGAGGTAGTTTCTACACTTGAAGTCCCAAGATTTATACCTGATGTGATGTTAGCACCACGGGATTTACAAATGTAGCACAGAATCAGCACTATTTCGACACATGCAATAAAAATGATAATATTCCTACCCAGTTGACTAATAAATAAATAAATAAAGTTTCTAATCTGATGGGATGATTTCTACTGTACAAATAGTAACATTAATAGAAGGTTAACAACCTACACTGAAACTCATGAATTGGTAAGAATGATCATATTTTCATTCATTATTTTTCTTATAGCTTTAGAAAGATCTTTCTGAACTGTTTTCTCTTTTAGATTAGCCTCCTGAAACAACCTGAAAGAACCTTTAACAGAAAATTTCAGTGTCTGCTAAGAAAGTTAATGTGAAGAGCTAACTAATTAAAACTGACTCTTCCCGGTTTTAGTTTGTCATTTTGGAAAAAAGGTTAAATGCTGCTGCAAGGCTATTTTTTCAGTTTGAACTTAAAGTAATGATAGTTGTTCCTCAGCTGGCAATGCCCTATAGCCACTCTGAACAGCTCTGATGTACAACCATTTAAATGAATCAGGCTGAAAAATTCAGAATTTTCTGATTCCAGTTAACGTTAGTATCACTTGATCGCCTAAGGATTTTTTTTTTAAAGGAAGAATAACTTTTGAAAACCTACTGTGTTATTCTTGGAACAGCTGAATGCAGTAGGCCTCAAGAGAGCTTTATAAAGTCTGGGTGTTGTTGAAGGTGATGAAATACTAGTGCAGGTTGCAGCCAAATGTAATACAGGCAATTTCGGACAATTTTCCCATTGTTTATTCACGTTGTGTGTTCCCACACTGTGCCATTGTTCATCATCACTAAACTCAGCTACTACAAGTACAGTACTACAGTGTATGATAACCTATTCAATGGTGCAGAAAGAAGTCAAATAAAAATTTATTCAGACTAGGAAATTCATCTAATATAATATGATATTCCAAGGGAAACTTGAAACCTGTTACTTTTTGATTCATAGCTGTAGAGCTTAATTTTTATATGACTTCTTATTCTTTTAAGTCTTTGAGCTACTTGATCAAGGTAGTGAGCAGAAATAGACAGGAGAATGCAGTATTCTGCATGTTATTATTACTTTGCTATCCATATCAGACAATTTAAAAAATGAAGATACGGAAAAATAAACAGTTCCTTTTTTTATATAGGTCAATATTCACATTATTTTTAGGAGATCTATAGCTATTACTGTTCATAAAATAAAAAATCATCAAATTAAATCAACTAGAGATGAGTTCCCCTGGTGCTAGTTTATTTTGCCATTTCATGAGAGAGTATCCTGCCTATCCATAAGCATTCCTGTCCATGGTGGTTCATATGTAAGAGTAGTATAGTTATGAATAGGTGGAACATAGTCACAAGAATATGCCTGACACTAGAATTGAGTGGTATTGGGTCAGAATAAAGAAAGAAGTTAACTTGCTACAGTAATATTTTCAGAAATAAATTTCAAGAGGTTTTTGGTTCATCTTACCACCTGAATATGTTATTGAACATATATGATTATGTTA